GCCGTATCCACCACCGTCGGCGGTCGTGGCGCCGACCTTGCCGAACCCCTTCGCCCACCTGGTCGCCTTTCCACACAGGAAGCCCTTCGACGCCTTTCGCTATCCGCCGCTGGGTCACGGCCCGGTCCTCCCCGGTAGTTACGCCGCTCATCCCTATCATCGGGCTCCGCCGCCGTTGCTACCGCCCGGTATGCCCCTGCCGTACACGTCCGCCGCCTCGTTTCAGAGTTTACTGGCGAACATATCGGCGGCGCAGCGGCCGAAATTGGTGCGCGGTTCGCCACCCCCGCCGCCGGCGCCCGCCCCCGCGATTGTCTTATCGCATCCCTCGGTGGCACCACCCCCGCCGCCACCGACGGCCACCTCGCCGCAGAGCTCGCCCACGGGTAGCGTGGGTCTGCCGGATATCGACAGGAGGACTAACAGCATCGCCTCCCTTAGACTGAGGGCCCGCGAGTACGAGCTACAGCTGGAGATGTCGCGTAAGAACGGCGATCTTATAAGTTGAAACGCCGCGGACTACATGCGGGAGTCAGCGAACGCGAGTCTGTCTTAAGTCGGTTAAGTTCTGGGCGGTCGCGGATCGCGGCGGGACCGGACAGGTTTTATACAAAGAATGTCGGCAGGTTGAGTCAAGAGGATGAACTCGATATACTGATGGGATTTTCTTATCGACATTCAAATCAGAATTTGCCCAACGTGACGCGGGGTCCGGACAAAATATCAAAATAAACATTTTCAGCCGATTGTCATACAAAAATAAACACAAGTGCGATATTTAATTATATACGACAATTTTAAATCATGTATGTACATATATATATATATATATAATGTCACGTTGACCAGATTTTGATTCGAATGCTTTTTCGGTCGATCTGTTCGCGATCGATTATCGCGATGAGCTTAGCATATGCGATCATGATTTCGTGACAAATGAAGACTATAATCATATTGATAAGCAGTGAACTGTATATAGCAAATGTTAAGCACGTTTGTCGATGGAGACAATTTTTTAGTATCGAAGAAATTATATGGATGAAAAGCATGTGATAATTTTCGTTATTCCGACAGAGAATTTTGTTGTTAAAACTATAATATGATTTTAATGTTTTTTTTTTTTTTTCAATTTTGTACTGCGATGAAATTTCGCGAGAAAATTGACAGTGAGAATAAAAGTTAAAATTAACATAATTGAAATTCTCAAGCGTGCAGCATCTATCTCTTAATGTAATAGAAATCAAAATTAATATCTTTCTATCGATCAAAATCAAACGATCATCCCTTTCTTATTATTCAAAGTACATCGATTTCTAATTGATTTTTTCAATTTCATGCAGGTCATGTCGATCGATTACAAAATAATGAAGACAAAATTTATAAAAAGACAGACAAAAATAATTGTAACTATCTCTTCTTTCAAACTGATATTCGATGTTCGAGAGTTATTGTTTACTTAGAAAAAATTTACCGTGATGCAAATCCATCAATTTTTTTTTATTCGTCATAGAAAAAATTTATCGTGATGCAATTCCGTCAATTTCTTTTTGTTCATCATTCACGACATCAACTAACGCGAAACCGGTGGTAGCAGGGAACACGTGCAGCACGAATAAAAGGAAGGAGGAGTAAAATTACCGTTACTCTCATGAGTTATACACACCGTACTGTATATAGTTTACAATATTCCGTATGCGTGAGGGAATTAATAGAACTGTGCAAATCGGGGGCCTCGCACGCGCGTATATCGCTGAATCTGTTTCACACGCATCGAAAGGTAAGTTTTCTAATTAGTTCATGTAATCGGTAATCACGTCAGCTTCTATTAAGGCTAGTTTTATATATGTATATGAATTTATATCAAGGCGTTAAATGTTTGGCGTGGAAAAGAATTTCCACGAAATTATTCGACAAGTTTGTTGCAGGACATGTGAAATATTAGCCTAACGCAATGCTGATCGTTAAATGTATGTGAAACAGATTTTATTCCTAGCAGGATCAAGTTCCGAGCTGTAAGATGACGGAATCATGATCAATTACTATCTTATCGAAAGATGAACGTAATCAATGAATATATATACATATAATTTGCACGCATTGAAAAATATATCATCTCGTACACTCTACTTTACACTTAAAATAGATAAAAGATATTATCTGTGCATATATTTTCAAGACTTTATATCCACTCACGAAGTTTGTAAAAAAAATATATAAAATTTATGAAAATTTAAATTGGAAGTATAAAGAATAATTAAATATTTAGAGATAATTAAAAATTTTGCAGCTGCTTCTTGAATCTGCTAGGACTAATTAAGCCATGTGAATTGTCATTTTCTTCTTATTAAAAAATGACAGCGGCTCTCGTGATTCCAAAGTGATCCTTACCTACACCGATCATCGAAAAATATCCGTCCACTTGGAGATTATTCGACATCATGATGGAAAAGTTAAGAATTTAGAGACTATCGATTAGAAGCAAGAAAGAGGCGTCTTTCGTGAAACGGGAAATATTCGGATAGATATACGGTCTTTTCCATCGCGATCGAAATGGTCTCACATATCGCTGCTGACTGCGTTTGATCGGAGATCGCGTAAAACGCGAAACCGTGTAGTTTTATTTACTTTTACACGACACATTATACATATTTAGATAACGAGAGAAAAGAGAGAGATACTATTTATATATAAATCTATATATATATATACATACTTTATATATTTACAATTGAGATATTCTACGCTATTGCTATAGATTTTACAACTGCATAAGCATACTTAGCGCATAAGACGACCTGTAAATAATTGTAAACGATCTGCGTGTCATTTTTAACAAGGACTTGGAATTACCTGTCCCGTTTGCATAATGTACAACAAACGACACGTATGCGTAGCCATATTGACAGCCCGGCTACTTCTCGACGGCGTTATCGCTTTCAATTCGTTGTGAGAGATTCTCGACATACCATTGATCTCGTTCAATTTAAGCGACAACCGTAACAATCGTCGACTATGACAATATGTCGAGCGTACAAAAGATATGTCGAGAGTGATAATTCGTCTTTTACGCGAATTACAATCGAGATCGAGATCGAGGTCGAGATTGAAAAGACAACGTTATCGAGCCCCACCTACTCTATTTCTCAAACCGAAACAGCCGCGTGCATTGTGTACTTAATCTTAATATTACCTCCTTATCTCTTCTATGCAATGAATAAATGACTACGATAAAACAAACGCGTTTTTTATTAAGCGATCCTCTTGTCACCAAAGATTGATTTGATAAATTAATTTTTTTATAATTTTTTCTGAATTTCTTCCATTCATAAATTTTATAATAATTTAGCGTCAATTTTTCTTTAGCAAAAATCTTTTTATATTTCTAATTAAAAGGAAGTTCATTGATTTGTTCTGTAATAATAATTCATTTGTATTATTAAAGAACCAAATATAAAGCAAAAGAATATAAATTTAAGAGCAAAATAGAAATTAGAATATTTAGAATTAAAATTAATTACATTTGATATAATATAATTGACGAGTCAAACGTAAAAATCTTTCTTGTGTATAAATTTGACTATCCAAAAATTACAGGGATTTAATCCTTGTTTCAATGCCGTCATCTTGCCGCAAGGAGATATACGCGACGGATAGCGATATTAATTTACGGGCTCGTCAGCTTTTCGAAAAATACTCCATTAACTCGCACATACATTAAGTGCTCCTTCTCCTTGAAGGGCCGTGCTCGAGGAGTCTCCCGAGACTGACTTACGGCGAGTAATTCGCGACTGGACACGCCCGGCCGACGAGTTATTTAAATATTTTACAGTTTAATGGAGTCCCGAGCCCCATTAACGGGCGTCAGCTAATTAGTAACATATCCCGGCGTGTAACAGCGCGCGAGCATGCTCTCGAGGAGGCTCACTAACGATCGGTCGATAAATCGAACGTTCGCCGACAAATCGACTAGCCGATCAGGCCTGACGTGTAGCAACGAATTTAAAACATTTTAAGTCGTCCAAGATAAAGCACATATTTTTCGATTCTTGATAAATGACGTAAAAAAAAATTACTCGCTAAAATTTAAACGAATTATACTGTCGCAGGATTTTACATAATTCATGATTTAAGTACCAAGAGAGATGTAAGAATTATTTCAAATTTATCAAAGAATTTGTCATTATAATTAAAATCAGAAATTTCGATTTTTCTGCCTATTAAGCGCGTGTAGTCAATCTTATGCAGACAGAATTGCAAGAAAATGGAAATATATATACGATGAATATTAAATGATAAGTATCGTTAAATTCCATGAGAACTAAACGCGCGATGGATTTTAATGATATGCCACGAGACAATAGTATTCGATCGAGAGATCTCGCGTCCGCTCAATTTTCTGTCCGCTCTAAAATTGTTAAAGCGAATTTCCGTCGATCGGATCTTTGAATTCTCTCGCGAAATTTTTCATTGGATGCAATAATAAATTTGCCAGAAAATCATGATATTATAGCGACGGTTGATTGAGAAATGGTATTAGGAATCGTTAATGCTTGGAATTATGGGGCCGCTTTTATCGCGATATATCAGGGCTATTTTACGAGCGCGTCGTATGTACCTGAAAGATTATTACGTGCTTTGCGATAATCTTAAATGAGTATCGAACTACATGCTTAAATTACATATTTCGATTCTACATCGCTCGTACATATCGTAATTGCGACTACGCAAGTTCCAGGATACGTAATGGAATGAAAAGTTTTCTTCGATTATTAGGTATGCTTTATACATATATATACGATGCTTTTCTTAAATATAACAGCAAATAAAAATAAAGGCTGTTTCTTACAAGAGAAATGAAATATAACTATAATATATAATTTTATTTAATAAAATTTAATTTAAGTTTCCAGAGTTTCTTCCTGTATTTAATTAATTTATTCAAGACCGTATTAATGGTACAGTTTTATTTGAGATATTATTTTTTCGTTACGATAAGAGGTATGAATAATTGGTTTCTTTAAATAATCTCTAAACGCAAGAAAAGCCGACTGCTGCATTATGCGATACATAAACGATGGTAGCTGCCGATTCATTTCGCGATGTGGATGGTTATTAGGTGGCTAGAGCCGGTGTAAAACGTCGCCGTAATCACCGGTTACTAACTAACTGGCTGAACCCCCGCCCTCTGCGCATCCTACATCTCTTCGCGATGTGCACGCGCATATGTACGCGATTCGCCGATCGCCCCAGGCACCATCGATACTGTTTACACCGTAGTAATTTGCTAATGGCCAGGCCGACACGATGAATTCGGGATCGGGTTAGCTGCGTGTTCTGCATACCGATCGACGCGGCGGGATCGACGACGCGGCCCGAGTGATCGAGGATCGATCACGCAGGAGGAAGAGGAGACACGCCTTCGACGATCGATCTTGCGTTCCGTTCGCGTATTACCGATCTATTCCGGACCGTAATTTGCGTCGATTATCCTTTCGTTTACCGTGGCCGCTTATCGCTCCGGCCGATTTTCGATGATAACCGAAGTGATGAAGGCAATGGGCTCGTATCTATTTACGTCACCGCTTGTATGCGTGCTCGTTTTTTCTTTCAGAATAAAAGTATATCGAAGATTGCACGCTTTTATTCAAAAGGACACTAAAACCTAGCTCGTATAAAATAGATGTTATTTATTTCAATATCGGGATGTGAATAATTTTCGAGCAATAACCGATTAAAATCTTCAAGATTTTTATGAATTATGTTTTACTAAATGCAAATAGATAACAAAAGCTGTTTTCTGTTCTATTTAAAATTTGTTTGAGAATAGCATTTTTTAGTTTAATATAAATCTCCCGTGTTAAATCAAAATAATTTGCGCACCGATTCGCGATGACGTCGAAACAAGATCGACTTCTCGAAGATATTGCGTTAATCCCCGGAATCGAATGTTCAACGTTCCAGGAGCAACGCTTCGTCTAAATGCTGCTCGTTTTTCTCTTTTTCTATCTCTCTCTCTCTCTCTCTCGCTCTTTCCTTCTCTTTCATATCCTCGCGCGCAGCACGCGCAAGGCTTTATCCGGTTAACAATCCCTAATTATGGGGTTCCTCGTAACTAACTCGGTTAACGTGGAAGGTCCCCCTTACAACCTCCTCTCCTCCTGCGAATCGCTCAGTACTCGCCTATCATCGCGATGGATGCAGATTAACCGGTCGTCCAAGATCTCTCTCGTAGCCTTCACTTTAACTTCCCGGCACCGGCTTCCTTCGTTCAACGGCATTCGATTTCACGTATCCTGCCACACCACCTCTCAGGATGGACCGCCAAGTTTTAATAACTCGTTACAAAATTTGTTAAACCGAGGGGAATATAAGGTATAAGAAGCACCGCCATAGGGCAAAAAAGATTTGATTTTACAAAATTCGTCTTAACACTAAAGAAGTGAGGTACGATCTTGAGGATCGACTTATTTTTTATCGTAGAGTAAACTTTTTTAATATAAAAAAATTCGCGAGTTATTTCAAATTTATCTCATATTTATAAATATCTTTATAAATAGCGAGAAAGAGATCGGTTATAAAAAAAGATGGGTTTGCAAAAACAATTATGACTTACATTACTATTCATTGTAAATTGTGTCATTCTACTACAGATTTAAAGTAATAATAAATAACTTGATTATTGTAAAAAGAAATCAATTTTTCCACAAATTAGAAAATGAGAATACTTTAAATTAATATTTTTTTTTAATTATTTTTTGGTAAAATAAAAAATCTAATCATTACGCTTAAATTCTTATTATGATAATTAAATTAAAAATGTAATATAGAAAACTCACCGAATAAACTCGTGTCCTTAATATAGTCCTTGGATGTTTTGAAGAATATTCATGATCTGAAAGAAAAATATTAAAATTAGAATAAAGACACGTATATACAATCTATTATTACCTTATTTTTATCTTTCGAATTTTCTGTTTTAACTTTGACAATTTATAAAATAAAGTAAAATTAGAAGAATTGCGAAATACAATTTGAATTTGATTAAGGAAAAAAATTAATTGCTAATTATTTAAATATTTTCTATATGTGTTTAATATATGTGTTCAAGTGTATTCAGTACAATTTCAAAAATATAAAACTATCAGAAATATGCATAGCTACTTTGCATACGCTCGTAAACTCAGTTTACATATTTGGGACATTTTATATATCGCACAACTATATTTTGTCAAGATTGTTTCGTGGAATATCATGTGCAAAGTATATTGCGGAATTTTAAACGGAATTTTAGAGAGGTACGTGTAATATAATGTTAAATTTTATATCTTCGAAGAATGAAACACATCGTTTATTTATAATATTTTTTTAATTTTTTAGAGAGGTAACCATTTAAAAAAAATCTATTCGAAATAAAAATGAAACATACATGCTAATAAAACATAAAATATTCAACAATTATACATGCTAATCTTTTTTATTAAATTGAATTAATTTGGATATAGTAAATCCATTTTTTTTACTCCAACAATATCTTAACATATTAAAATTGTCATAATGCGCAACTCCGCATATAATTATTCATATGTCAAAATTTACACAGATATAAAATTTGATAATATCAAATTACATTTGATTGATAATTCAAACATATTGCATTCAATAAATTTTTTAATTAAAAAAAAACTAAAAACTGTTAATCACTCTACACGCATAATCATATTATGCGCAAACATATACAATATAAATCCATATGCCTTAAGAGTCATGAGATTTCTCGACGTATCCACAAATACATACGCATCTCTACCGAAATTCTTTAGCCGCTTATCTCGTAATAAGACCCAACGCCTTCCCCTGCTTCGGGATCCAGGAGAAGACAAAATTGACGGCGAGGGACGGGGTCGGAGGCACAAGGCGGGAAGAGAAGGTGAGCCGAGAAAGAGAAAGAGAGAGAGAAAGAGAGAAGCCGAAGACTTCGAGATGAGGGATGTACGGCGTGACGGTCTAATTGAGGCCCTCTTGATTGCATTTACACCGCCGCGCGGCCTCCCGTATATCCCCGGGTGTATCCGTACAGAATATCCACCTTCCACGACGGATCCGCGCATAGAGACCACTTGTATCTTTCTTCCTCGCCGTTGTTCTTCCCCGCCCTTCACCCTTCGTCCGTCCACGTCTTTACCTTCCCCTTCCACATCACGGCTTGCATCATCGTACCTTCCATTTGC